CCTCCCCTTTGCCTGCTCCTTCTCCCTACGCTGGTCCGACTGGAGGTCTTACTGAGCGTCGTGAGCCTGCGTCTCGTCCTGCGTCGCCTGTTCGTACTGAGCGCGCTAGTGGTCGCGGGTCGCGTCAGCGTCCTCCTCCTGTCCCTGGCACGCACCGGATGTCACTGCGTCCGTCCACTGCTCCTCTGCGTGCCCCTTTGCCTTCTCCTCCTGCGTCCTCTCTTCCTGCTCTTGCCGACCCGGAGTCGGACTCTCTTCGTGCTGCCAGTCCTACTGTCACGCGTCTCCTTGCTACTGCTGTCACTGACCCTTCCTTCGAGTCGTCTGCTGCGTCTGCCCTTGTCACTGAGCTTGTCGACTTTGCTGCGCGCTGTCGTCTAGACTACGCTGCTCGTCTTGTCGCTGAGTCTGAGTCCGCCTGTCCTCCGTCCGTCGGGGGTGAGTGTGCCCTTGGCACGGACGTCCTAGAGGACAGGCAGGAGGAGTTCCAGTGTCTAGCCGCTGCTTCACCTCGTCTCGCGTCTGTACTGCTAGCCCCTGAGGGAGACCCGGATGCACTAGACATCCCGACTCCGCGTTCTTACGCGGAGGCCGTAGAGGGTCCCTACTCCTCTCAGTGGCAGGCAGCTATGGATGCAGAGATGGCTTCCTGGAAGTCCACAGGCACCTACGTTGACGCGGTTCCCCCTCCTGGGGCGAACATCGTCAGTGGCATGTGGATCTTCAGGGTGAAGCGGCCGCCGGGCTCGCCGCCTGTCTTCAAGGCGCGTTACGTGGCTCGTGGCTTCAGTCAGCGGCAGGGAGTTGACTACTTTCAGACCTTCTCTCCCACCCCGAAGATGACCACTCTTCGGGTGCTGCTGCACATTGCCGCTCAGCGCGACTACGAGCTTCACTCTCTCGACTTCAGCACTGCGTTCCTGCAGGGTAGCCTGCACGAGGAGATCTGGCTGCGCCGTCCGCCTGGCTTCACTGGGACTTTCCCTCCTGGCACCCAGTGGAGCCTCCGACGGCCAGTCTACGGTCTCCGCCAGGCACCGCGTGAGTGGCACGACACACTGAGGACTACGCTTGCGGCTCTTGGGTTTGCTCCTTCTACTGCCGACCCGTCGCTGTTTCTTCGCACCGACACTTCCCTGCCGCTGTTCTACATCCTAGTGTACGTCGACGACTTGGTCTTTGCCACAGCGGACACTGCTGGACTCGCCTACGTGAAGTCCGAGCTGCTGAAGAGACACACGTGCACAGACCTGGGTGAACTGCGCAGCTACCTTGGCTTGCAGATCACTCGGGACAGAGCACGCCGCACCATTACCCTGACTCAGTCACACATGGTGCAGCAGGTCCTTCAGCGCTTCGGCTTCACGTACTCCTCGCCTCAGGCCACTCCTCTGCCTACTCGCCACTCACTCTCAGCTCTGCCTTCGGATGAGTCCGTAGAGTCGAGTGGTCCGTATGCAGAGCTTGTTGGCTGCCTCATGTACCTGATGACCTGCACACGACCTGACCTTGCATACCCTCTGAGCATCCTTGCACGCTATGTTGCTCCTGGGAGACACCGACCAGAGCACATGGCTGCAGCGAAGAGGGTATTGCGCTACCTGTGCAGTACGTCGGGCATGGGGCTAGTGCTTGGAGGGCGGAGTCCAGTGGTCCTTACTGGGCACGCAGACGCTTCTTGGGCTGACGACCAGGCTACGCAGCGGTCGTCACAGGGTTACACCTTCAGCCTTGGTTCCGGCTCTGTCTCGTGGCGGTCTACTCGCTCGTCTTCGGTTCTCGGCTCCAGTTGTGAGGCTGAGATCTACGCCGGGGCCATGGCTGCACAGGAGCTTCGCTGGCTCACCTACCTGCTGACTGACCTTGGAGAGCTGCCTCGTTCTCCTCCAGTGCTGTACGTAGACAACAAGGCCATGTTGGCCTTGTGTCGAGAGCAGCGCTTGGAGCACAGAACGAAGCACATTGCTCTCCGCTACTTCCTTGCTCGTGAGCTGCAGCAGCGTGGTCAGTTGCGACTTGCTTACGTGGCCTCTGAGGCCAACACTGCTGATGTGTTCACCAAGGCACTTGCGCCTTGCGACCATCAGCGCTTTTGTACCCAGCTGGGTCTTGTACCTGTCTTGCCTCACTTGCTCTCTTCTTGACTTTACTTGTACTTTGACATATATATACCTGCTCTTGCTTGTCTAGTTTTATATATATGTCTGTACTCCTGCATGTGAACTGGCCTCTGGCCTTGCTCTTGTGCTCGGACTGTGTGGTGACTTTGTGATCCACCCTGAGCTTGTTTTGCTTTGCTTGACTGGTCTTGTGACCCCTTGTTCTCCCCCACTTTGCCTATGGGGGTGTGTCAGATTATTATAACTGATGCATGTTTGTAGGCTATAGTGGGGTAGCACATATGGGGTACAGTTTGCTAGGGTTGTATTTGTACCCAACTCTGATTTAGTCAATTCATTCCTGTTCAGTTAGTTTCACAACGTCACCTCAAGGAACTCAACCGTGCCCTTCTCTACTTCATCTCGACGCCAACAGTTGGCTTAACGTATCACAAGAGCACGACGACCGACCTAAAACTACTCGGCTACGTCGACGCTGATCACGCTGCTGATCGTGTCGATCGTCGCTCCCGCACCGGCTACATCTACCGTCTCGAGCCCGTCGGAACTATCTCCTGGCAATCAAGTAAGCAGGAACTCGTCGCACTATCATCTGCTGAAGCATAGTATATTGCTCTCTGCACCGCTACCAAGGAAGGTCTGTACCTGCGCGAACTGCTGGAAGAAGCGAAAATTGCGAAAGTACCCAGCTTCTCGCTTTTCTGCGACAACCAGTCCGCGATACGAATCGCAAACAAGAATGGCTTCGCCAACAGAACCAAGCATATCGCACTGCGATACTTCTTCGTGAAAGACGAAATTGAGAAGGGAAAACTCCAGCTGGACTACTGCCCGACCACCGAGATGGCAGCAGATTATCTCACCAAGAAGCTACCAAAGGGGAAATTCGAGTACTGCATGCTGCTCACCGGATTGGGCCACGTCACCGAAGCTGACCACGTCGACACTCCAGAAACGAAGGGGAGTGTTGGGAATACAAACGCATGACTTAGTGCGCTTTTTATTTATGTTTACCATGCTAGTAATATCTTTGCAGTTACGTTTTTTTTATTGCGACTTCACTGAAACTTTTGCACCAGTCAGTCGACATACTTCCCTGCGTATACTCCTCGCCATCGCCGCCTCACGTCGCCGCCCACTCCGACAAATCGACGTCGCCAACGCTTTTCTGTACGCCCCAGTCGACGCTGAAATCTTCGTCGAACAGCCCCACGGGTTCGTCGACGACTCTTCCCTCGTCTGCCAACTACTTAAATCACTATACGGAATTAAGCAGGCACCGCGACTCTGGCAGCAGTACCTGCACGCACGACTTAAACGCATCGGATTCAACCAACTGCCCCATGACCAGGGCATGTATCGCCTCACTCACGACAACGACTACGTCCTGCTAATCGTCTACGTCGACGATTTACTTTACATCGGGTCAACTACCACCATCGTCACCTGGTTCGAAAGGGAGCTTCAGACAGATCTCTCCCTCACAGTCTCACCCAACGTCACGCAGTACCTAGGGCTCAACATCCTCGACGAAGACAACGCCATTCGTCTCAGCGCCTCAAAATACGCAAGCACTATTGCCGAACGCTTCTGCATCACACCGACGCACGTCGCAACACCCTACAGTCACCTATCGCTCGATCCAACCGAAGAAACCAACCCACTGCCGTCTGCTGGAATCCAGGAATATCAACAGAAACTGGGCTGCCTACTCTTTGCCGCCGTTACGTGCCGACCGGACTTATCCTACAGCGCCAATCAACTAGCGACCTACCTCAAGCGCCCAGAACAACGTCACCTCAAGGAACTCAACCATGCCCTTCTCTACTTCATCTCGACGCCAACAGTTGGCTTAACGTATCACATACCAGCACAAGTACATTCACTCAAGTCTTCCGCTGTGCTACTCTAGCACCTACTAGCCTATTCTCTGCAAAGATCTTAAGGCTGAAATCCTCAGCCCAACATGGTATCAGAGCAGTCAGAGAACAAAGGCTCTCGTCACTAAGCCTCTTCCAGGCTACCGATCTGCAAGCAACCAAGAAGTTCAATCTTCATTCAAGAAAGGCAAGACATGGCAAGTGGCAAAGAAAGAAAACCATGCTAGGATTCTGCCCGAACAGTTACGTAACTACTCGGAGTCGCACGGTTGGATTTCGCTGCAATAAGGGAATGTACCCCTTAGAGTACATGGCTAGTTAGGTCGTTTCGAATTCCCCTGTACTCATATTTATATTCCTTGTACTGCACGTTTTTATCATCTCAAGCATTTACATTCACTCTGCTATTGAGGTCAAGGGCCCACCACCACTAGATTAGAATTGTGCAAACCTTCCTGAGGTGATCCTGGTTACAATCACTTATTGATTACAACAAATTGCACTCGTAACACTTCCAATCCTAAAGATTGCACTGCGCATTGTCTTCTGTATATGTAACTGCATGCACAGTACACCAATCATCTCACACTGCATCTCATTCGCTGACTCATCATTTCTAGCAGTTCTCATTGCCTACCTACCAGCATACCGTACATATGGTGTGAATGCCTCTTAAAGGGCATGACAGTACAGCAATATGTATCTCAAATGTGGGTATTTTGTGGGGTAAACAATTTCTTATCTTCATATCCTGATTTTATTGGTTGTGCTCCTCAGACATCATCGCTAGAAACTGCACCGCATGCTGCTATACGCAACGCATGAAGGGACAAACCAGGAGGAGCACGTAGAAAGTGGCAGCATGCAGAAATGCATACCGTATACGATATGCTACCTTCGATGCAATACAGAATCGGCGAATGTTAACCCACGGAACTGGATCGAATAGGACTAGGCCAGATCTGAACTGACGCAGGCACACCATCGGCCTCTAGCATGGTTACCCCCTCCAACCACCACCACCACCCTCGCTGTCATTATCATAGTCCCTTATCTCATCCCCATCCCCATCCCCATCATCATCCGAAGTCCCACCGCTGCTACTGTCTCCCTCTTCACTCTCTTCTTCGTAACTCCCCTCACCTTGCGTGCCCCCGTCCCCCTCACTCTTCTCCTCTCCCCCTCTATCCATCGCCCCAACATCCCCTCCATCCCCAGCTTGTTCCTGCCCCTGGCCCTGCCCCGGCTCCTGCCACTGTGCCTGGTCTTGCCACGACGCCTGGTCTTGCCAAGATGCCTGAGTATGCCAATCACCACTGCCAAACTCCCCACCAGCATTGCTGCCACCACCATCACCAGTGCCATCACCATCACCATCACCATCACCATCACCATCACCATCACCAACACCAACACCAACACCATCGTCACCTTCATCACTCTCACCCTCATCGTCCTCCTCCTCATCATTATCCCCATCCCCATCCTCATCATCTTCATCATCATCATCGGCATCATCATCATCATCATCGCTTCCCTCTGCCTCCTCTTGCCGGTCACTTCCATCCCCTCCTTCCTCCCCATCCTCCCCTTCCTCATCCCCAGCTTTCCCTTCCTCCTCCATCTCCTCTCCTCCCCCGTCCATAAGTCCTTGTTCCCCTTCCGCAACAGCAGCACCGCCATCACCACCACCAGCACCAGCAGCACCACCACCCTCCTTGTCCCACCAACCATCTCGTTCTCCCTCACCCCCTGCGAAAGCTAAGAGCATTTCAGCATCTATATCACCATCATCCCCATCATCACCCTCCACATCACCACCCTCCACATCACCACCCCCACCACCATCACCCATGCCATCACTCCGCATGCCACCATCCCCATCCATGCCATAGGCTTCATGCTCACCCGTGCCCCTACCTCCCTCCTGCTCCCCTGCCTCTGACACTTCATACTCCTCCTGCTCTTCGCCTTCCCCTGCACCCCTCTTCTCCTCTTCTTCCTCCTCTTCGTCCTCCTCCTCGTCCCCCTCGTCTTCCTCTTCCTCTTCCTCCTTTTGTTCCTCCACCTCCTCTTCTCCACCCTCAACCTCCTCTTCCTCCTCCTTCCCACCTTTCACCTTTTCCTCTTCCCCCTCGTCTTCCTCTTCCTCCTCCTCATCCACTTCCTCTTCCTCCTCCTCCTCCTCCTCCTCCTCCTCCTCCTCCTCCTCCTCCTCCTCCTCATCCTCATCATCGTCCTCTTCCTCCTCCTCCATGTCTTTTTCATTCCACTCCTCATCGTCTTTCCCTTCGTCCTCCTCCTCGCTTTCCTCCTCACTTTCCTCCTCGTCGTCCTCCTCCTTCACCCCTTCTTCCCCACCTTCCTCGTCCGTCTCTTCAACCTCCTTCTCCCCCTTCTCATCAAACTCTGTTCCTTCACCCGTGACCCGTATCCTTTCACCACCAACTGTCAAGTCCTGCTCCCCCTGTTTCTGCATCTGCCATCCTTGCTCCGTCTCTTTGTTCTCCTCACTCCATTGCTCTTCTCCTCCTCTCTCCCTCCCGTCTCCTCCCCGCCTGACCTGCCAGTCCATTTCCCATCCTCGTTCAATGGCTGCTGCTGCCGCTGCTGTTGCAGCGTCTCTAGTGCTTGCAGCAGCAAGACTCACTCTTGCTCTTTTAGATTCTGTACTTAGATCTACTCCTCCTCCTCCTCCCACTCGCCCCCTCTCATCAGCCTCCACCTCCCCCAACTTCCTCTTCCTCTCCAGTTCCGCACGCTCTTTCCACTGCTCTACTTCCGTCTCCTTCTCCCTCTCCCTCTCTCGCACTCTCTCCCTCTCCCTCTCCCGCTCCTCCTTCACCCTCTGCTTCTCCCTCTCGACACCCTCCACCTCGCTCCGAAGCAGAGCAGTCTCATGGTTCACCAGCAGCCGCGCCAGAAACAGCTGCTCCGCTCCCCGCAAAGCCTCCCCGTCCCGCCACCCGTCCCGCATCCGCCCCCACCGCCCCACCACCTCGTCACCTCGTATCACCAGAGACATACTCCGTCCCTCCACAGCTTCTGCCTCCCGTGCTGCCGCCACCACCTGCTGCTGCCGTTGCTTCTCCAGCAGAGCGCGAGCCTTGGTCTCATACTCCCCATCCCCTCCCTCGTTCGCTAAACCATCCTTTCCTCGAACCTTTTCACTCGTGCCACTCAAATCACCAACCATTCCCACCTTTCCCCCGTCTCCCTTTCCGCCTCCTCCCCCCCACCCGCTCCCCACACCACTGGCATGTGCGCCAGCCCCCGCCCCCGCCTCCCCCCCTCCGCGCGCTCCCCCTAAACCACCGGCTGCGGGGAGGGCGGGGGGCGCAGCGGGCGCGGCTGCTGCAGAACGGGGAGGGTTGCGGGGAGGCGGGTGGGACGCGGGGAGGAGGGCGGAACAGCCTGTAGACGCGCTAGATGCGGAAGGCGCGAGGTCGGTTGAGGAGTGAAGGTTGACGAGCGCAGGATCGTAATCCGCGAACACGTGGAAGGGGAGGAGCCTGCGCGCGGGGCATGCGGGGAGGAAGAGCGCGAGGGAGGAAGGTGTGTGGAGGGAAAAAAAAGTAGGTATGGAAGGAGGGAGGGGGAGGGGAAAGTAGTAGAAAGGAGAAGGGGAGCGAGTGGGAGAGTAGGGGGATGGGGAGGAGGGGTTGGGGCAGGTAAGTGGTGGGGATGAAAGTATGGAGATGAGAGGGTGGAGTTAGAGGGGTTGCAAGCACCCTATGGAAACAAAAAACGGAGAAAAAAATAGTTAACAACACGAAACCCTAGTCTTCTCTATCATGATCGCAGCGCAGCACCGCTCCTGTCGCACGGCCCTGTCCCCCAAGCCGCTACCTCCTCACCTGTCGCTCGAACCTGTCCCCCCAATTCGCTGCCTCCTCACCTGTCGCAGGCGTCGCCGAGGCTAGCAAACGGCGAGCGCGTCTCGGGGTTCGCCGCGGCCACCGCATCGGCCAGCAACGCGCGCTCCGCTGCGGCTGCAGCCGCTGCAGTCACGGCAGAGGCCGGCCGCCGACTATTCCCAGCCGGCGACGACCCACCGCCAATGCCGCCACTACCACCAGCACCGCTCAACACCGCACCGGAATTGGACACACCCCTCGGAACATTGTCATTCATACCGTTGCGACCCCCACCGCTCAATCCCCTCGCGATTGCGTCGCCGGCGCCAGTGACTCCCCGGCCGGCGGCGTTGCCGGCGGTGGGATTGACACCGACTCGCCGGCTGTGCTGCGGGCTGGGCTTGACGTCGCGATTCGTCGGACGAGACATATCCGAGGCGACCCTAAGTTTGTCCCCGCGGGAACCGGCGACGGAACTGGGAGCTGAGGAGAAGCGGAACTCTGGCTTAGACATGACTGCGGTGACCTGGGTGATCCGTGGGAAAGCTTCAGTGACTCATGATGACGTCGGGCAGCTGGAGTTGACTAGGCTTTGCTTGGCTTCGCAGTGCACCCAACACTAGTCCTGCAGAACGGAAACCCTGATCTGCATAATACTGAAGCGATCTGCTACTTCCTGAGATCAGCTACAAGCGTGACATTCATGACAAATGTTCGGTAGAGTATGGTACTGAGATTTTACACGTCGGTTCCAGTATTCATTATAACCAAAACACATGCGCCAGTTTTCATAGAAACAAACTCGTCTGTTATGAGTTGTAAAAGAGAGTGCGCAGGTAAACGAATAACGAGACTGTCACTGAATGAACTGAGAATACAATGAGTGCACAAACTAATGTAGGGCTAGCCTAGCTAGGAGGAAACCTCGGAAGACGAGGTTGGGTGCAAGTTTGGCGATGGAAATGCCGAAGGCGACGCGAGGAGCCTCGGCAGCGTTGAAATCGGCCGGACGTGCGAACTCCGAAAATCGGGTTGTACGCGAAGCAGTCAACCCCGATAAGGAATTCGGGAAAATTCCTTACACCACCCCCCCCCCCTTAAGAAAGGCGGTCAATATCCGAAACACGCTTGCGCGCCAAGTAATTACCAACAAGTGGCGAGGCGTCGAGCGAGGCGGATGGCACCCACGTGTCGTCTTCACCAGTGCGGTCAGTCCAGCGGATTAAGAAATCCACGTGTCGGCCAGCTGCGTCAAGGCGGACCCGATGAGCCAGGATTTTCGAAGGGTCAAGGGTCGGCTCAGGAACAGGTCGCTCTGTCGGGGCAGCTTGCTGACGGGCGAGTTCGGTCGTGGCTGGCACGAACTTGCGAAGAAGGCTGACGTGGAAGGCGTCATGGATTCGCCAGTCGTCGGGTAGCAACAGCTTCGCGATGACAGGTGTCACCATTTTGATAATCTTGAACGGCCCACAAAATCGTGGCCGTAGTTTCGACGGGCCAGGCAGGTTCAGGTTCTTCGTGTCAAGGAGCACTAATTGCCCAGGGGTCAAGACGAGTTCCCGGCGTAGAAGATCTACATATTTGCGGGAAGTGGTATTCGCCTTGCGAATTGCGTCGGCTGCCTTTTCTCGGGTTTCCTGGAGTTCCGTCACAAAAGTTTGTGACCTCGGGACCGGGTTGTCGAGAGAAGTTGTGGTAGGAACCGTCGGGTCCATCCCGTAATTCAGGAAAAACGGGGAGCGATTAGTCGTGCTGGACGGCGCGTTGTTGAAAGCAAATTCCAACATTGCGAGTGAATCCTCCCAGCGGGCCGGGTCGGGGCAGTTCGTCCTGATCAGCTGCTCCATGGTCTGATTGGTCCGCTCCGTTTGACCGTCCGTCTGTGGGTGATATGCCGTTGAGAACTGTAGCTTCGTGCCGTACTGCGCCCACGTCTCCTTCCAGAACTTTGATGTGAATCTCGGGTCTCGGTCGCTGATGATCGCCGAGGGGATGCCGTGCGGTCGCACGACCGTGGAAATGAAAAGTCGCGCAGTTTCTTTGGCTGTAATTGTCGTTTGGCATGGTGCGAAGTGCGCCATTTTCGTGAAGCGATCGACGACGACGAGAACAGGGTCGTTGCCGGATGGCCCATCTGGCATCCCCGTGACGAAATCCATCGTCACTTGCTGCCACGGTCGTTCGGGTGGCTCGAGGGGTTGCAGCAGCCCAGCTGGTCGTTGACGTGTCGATTTCATAGCTTGGCACACCCTGCATGAGGACACATATCGCTGCACGTCGTTAGAGGAGTCAGGCCAATAATATTGACGGTGTAGTAATTTCTGGGTTTTATCAACCCCGAAGTGTCCGGAGAAATTCGAATCGTGAACCTCCTGGATGAGAAGTTCACGCAGCAGTCGGTAATCTGACACCCAAATCCGGTCGGTTCCGGCTTTTAGGTAATAATCCCCTTTCTGCGTCGTGGCCTGCTGTAAGTAGCGGGTTCGAATGGGTGATGAGTACTGCAGCGGATTGTACTGTCGGTCGGGTCAGGGCGTCGGCGATGTTATTCGCCCCTTTCTTGTACGTGATGCGGTAGGTGAAGTGGCTCTCCATGTAATCCAGCCACCTAATCTGTCGTGGGTTGAGGTTGGGTTGGGCTCGCAGGTCCTGCAGGGACTTATGGTCCGTGCGAACAGTGACGTCGGCGCCTACCAGGTAGCATCGCCATAATTTAAACGCGTGTATGATGGCGAGCATCTCCTTGTCGTGAATCGGATAGTTGCGTTCGGCTGCCTGCAACTTGCGTGATTCGTAGGCTATCGGCTGCAATCCGTTCCCGAAGTCTTGGAGAAGCACAGCCCCGATGGCGAAATCTGAGGCGTCGGTTACAACTTCGAACGGCTTCGATGGGTCGGCGATGCGCAGTACAGGAGGGGAAACGAGAAAATTCTTGAGTTCCTGGAAAGCCGCGTCTGCCTCCTCCCCCCACACAAAATTTTTGTACTTGTGCAGCAGGTCGGTCAGCGGGCCGGTTATCCCCGCCATATTCGGTATAAAACGCCGGACGTAATTCACCAATCCGAGAAAACTCTGGAGTTCCATGACGTTCGTCGGGGACTTCCACTCCTGAATGGTCTTGATTTTCGCCGGGTCGATTTTAATGCCGTCGCGCGAGATTACGTGCCCCAAAAACTCCAACTCCTGCTTAAAAAACTCGCACTTACAGCCCTTGGTGATGAGTCGGTTTTCCTGCAGCCTTTTAAACACTGCATCCAGGTCTCGGAGGTGCTGCTCCCGTGTCTTGCTAAAAATGAGGATATCGTCCAAGTAGACGATGACACAACGGTCTAGAAGATCCCGAAAAACCCTGTTCATGGTCAGTTGAAAAGTCGAAGGCGCGTTCGTGAGGCCGAAAGGCATCACTGTAAATTTGTAACTCCCGTAGCGTGTGCGAAACGCAGTCTTATGACAGTCGTCGGCGAAGACTCGGACCTGGTGGTAACCGCCACGTAAGTCAATCTTCGAGAAATAGCGAGCGCCGCGGAGTTGGTCGAGGAGGTCGTCGGTGCGTGGGATTGGGTAGCGAGACTTGATGGTGACCCGGTTCAGCGCACGATAGTCGATACACATGCGAAGCCCGCCGTCCTTCTTCGGAGTGAACAGGATCGGTGCTGCGAAGGGAGATGTGCTGGCCCGAATAAACCCCTTCTCCAACAGTGCATCAATTTGACTTCGCAGCTCCTCGAGTTCCGGCTGGGTCAACCGCCATTGTGTCCGAACAGTTGACTGCGCGCCAGGTTCCAGCTGGATTTTGTGGTCCTCAGGTCTCTCGGGTGGCAGTCCAGGTGGCAGGTCGTCGGGGAAAATGTCCGGGTATCTCCGAATCAGCTCCGCTAAATCCGGTGGTACAGCTGCACACAGCTTCTCGATGTCCTTTCCCTCGGTGTCGATTGCCAACTCGCGTAAGCAAACAGCGAACACCTGCGCGCCTCTGTTGAAGTGGCGAGCTATAGTGATAGCTTTGACGCACGGGGCTTGGATGTAGTCAGGTGTCCATGCAGGTAATTTTATTAACCCCTTCGTGCTTGCTGATGCTGCACGATCCCGTTGTCCAGTCGATGACGGGGTTGTGCCGTCGCAGCCAATCACGTCCCAGCAGTACGTCGCAGCCGTCCAATGTTGTCGCGAGAAACTTCATGTTGAAGCCGAAATCGTCGCCGCAGTCGATCGTGGCCGTCCGTGTTTCTTCCGTTATCGCCAGAGGCGTCCCATCCACGAGGCGAGCGTCAATTTCGGGCAGACACCTGTCAAGTTGCTGCTTGCATCTTTTTGCGCTCGCCAAGTTGAAGAGGCTATGGCTGGCCCCCCCATCGACGACATTTTCAGATTATTTTTTAACACCTTGCCAGCGACCAGCACAGGGTGATCTACATGATTATCCCCGTTATTCGGCCGAGTGCGATCGATTGCATGAATCGGAACCACGACTCGGTGGGGATGATGGTGTTCGGGCGACGGAGCACAGTCAGTAAAGGGCCCGCTAATTACTGACTCTTCCCATTTCCCTGCTCCTTCCTATCGTCCCCTGTCAGTGGCATTTTCTCCTGGCAGTCTTTCCTGTAGTGACCCACCTCCCCACACCAAAAACACGGACCCTTAGGAGGGTGGTCGGGTGTATGGACGGCGTTGATCGTGGCCCGATGGGTCTGGCCACGAAAGCTTCTCCCATCCCTGGAAGCTGCTCTCGCGTACTGCATCAGCGCATCAGTTGACGCCGCCACGCGTACTGCTTCGAGGAACGATGTCGGGCGGCTTCGGCGGACCTCAAACAGTATCTCATATTTAAGGCCGCTGACGTACTTATCCAACCGCTCTGCTTCCGACATGTCATCGATCTGGTCGGCGAAGCCCATAAATGACGCCGTATACTCTTGGACAGAAGCCATCTGCGACCATGCACGCAGCTTCATGCGAGCTTGCTCCGAGGCGGATACGTGCTCGAAGCGATCTCGTAAGGCTGCGCCCCACTCCTTCCACGTGCGTATCTTGGTCACACCGAAGATCGGTTCTACCACTTGATTAACCACTGTAGAGGTCCCGTCTGCCGCATGTGTCACACCTGTCGGAGTCCATGTTTCCAAGGTCCGGCGCCACCACTCAAGCGCCGCGCCCCGAAGAAGTGAAGCCGCGTAATTAATACGCGTGGCATCGTCGTTAACGCCTGCTGCCGTGAAGAAGACCTCGACACCGAACAGCCACCCCTTCACTTGTCAGAACTTATAGCTTACTTGTTTC